CTGCCTAGGTTCGAGAAGAAACCCAACACTTGGGTTCTTTCTCGAACCTAGCACTTGGGTTCTCGAAGGAACCCAGCCACCTTGGTTCTCGAAAGAACCCAAGTGCTGGGTTTCTTCTCGAACCCAGGCAGTTGGGTTCCTTCGAGAACCCAACGCCTGGGTTATTCCCAAGGCCTAGGTTCGAGAAGGGACCCAGCGCCTGGGTTCTTTCGAGAACCCAGCGCCTGGGTTCTTTCGAGAACCCAGCGCCTGGGTTCTTTCGAGAACCCAACGCCTGGGTTTGAGAAAGAACCCAGCTCTTGGGTTCCAACGAAACCCACCAGCTGGGTTCCTTCGAGAACCCAGTGGAGAACTGCTCTTCTAGGGTTGAAAAAGGAAGAAGGGAGAGAAGATAGTGAGTTTGGGGAGCTGGAGGTGGGCCCCACAATTTATTTATTTATTTTTGGCCCAGAATCTGACGTGTTTTGTCCATGTGTATAGTTGACGTGTCAGAATATTTTGACATGTCATAATACTCGGTTAATTAACGGGACACGTCACTATATTTTTAACGGAAGGACCAAGTTGAGGTAAAATGGGTAAACAGTAGGAACCAAATCAGGGATTTTTTTAGTTCAAGGACTAAATCGGGGGTCCGTACAATAGTTCAGGAACCAAAAAGGGGTTTTAACCATTTGTTTTTGAATATTGCCGAATTGATGCCAAAGGGGCTGCTGATTTGACTTGAGGCTTCCTCCTTGTTGCAATTCACGGGCAGGAAATTGGTTGGCCATGGCTGGAATGTTTTGACAAGGGCGGCGTTGAGAACCAGAGAAAAAAAAAATTAAAAAGAAAAAGAGAGAAGCTGCTGAAAATTAATGATGATGATCATGTTTTATAATGAGTTGGAGTCGGCAAGGTTTCCGAGTCCTAAGTGTTGAGGAATTGTAGTGGCACCGCGTAATTGAAGACGGCCCGTTTTCGATTCCAGAACGAAGAAGAAACGTACACAGCAAAAAGTGAAAAAGGTGAAAAGGAAGGAAGCCCTTGAGGAAATTTGGGGCTTACAAAAGAGGACAGGGGCACAAAGAAATTGAGTACTGTCACTAAGGTCCTAAATTTTTGACACCTACTCCCGTAAGGCCAAAAAATTAGGGGGCAATGTTTACACCTAATTTTACAACAAATGGAGTGCTGCCACGTGTCATCCATGATGGCAGATATTTTATTAGTTGAAAGTTGGTGTGAATTTCTTCAGATGAGATTGAGTGGTTATTTCCACAACGGCAGTAAAACCGTTCTCTTATTGTGGGCTTCCAAGAGGATAATCGCAGCACCAACAAATTAATCAATTTGTTGCAGATATTACGTTGTTGTTGGTTTTTCAAGATGCTGTCGCAGATCTCCACCATGCTGCCAAGGTGCTATAAATACCTAATGATAAGATCAAGCAAGGGATGGACATCTCACACAACAAACTCAGCACAATTTCTCTTTATGCTCAGATTCATCTTAGTTTCAAGCCTTTTAATTTAATTTCAACTCTACACTTCAACCTAGATTAGTTTAGTAATTCAACTCTTCATTTGTTGGATTTGTAATAGTGAGTTTCATTGCCTTCAGTAAAATTTCTTTGTGATCGGATTGCTTTTTTTCTTTCTCTATTTTCCAAGTTTCCTTTAATTCAATCAAATGATATCGACATTTGATTTCGTGTTCAATTCCATTTCTATTAATTTATATTTCATGCTGCTAGTAGATTTTCTTTGTTTCCAATTTTATTTACTTTAACTTAATTTACTTTTGCTGCAATTAAATTTCCTTTTAAAGCTCTATTTCAATCCAATTTGCGTATTTAAAGTTCATTTAGATTTTTAGTAATTTATCGATCATTTATTTTCCTTGTAATCTTAACTTTTCCTGATTACATTAGCTTTGAAGAGTCCTTGGAGTCATATCCAGGGCATTTTGTCGTATAACCCATTTAGTGCAGGAAGTTCATCCCTCGTTTCTGCCAATTGTCTGATCTTTAAGGCGCAATTTACGACGTTCTTCCATCAACTCACAAGTTGAGTTCCACACTTGAAAAGAAGAGAGGGTTGTCGAAGAAATCTTTTTTTTTTTGAGCAAAGCAAGTGGCACGCCATTTCATCTGCCACGTGTCAAGGAAATTTTTTGGGATAATTTCTTTCGTCAGATTTGTTACCATGGACTCTTGGTTTCGACGGAGGTGAAGCAGGGAGATCAAGCTGCTTTGTTCCGACTGTTCATGATGGATATGAGGTGGTGACCGATGAGCCACCGACGGAGGTGGAGTTGGCCAACAGGGATGCAAGAGAAAAACAAATAAAGGGATGTCATTTCTAATTTTGTTTTACCCAGAGAATTTTTTATTTTTTTTTACCTTACGATTAGTGTTTTTTAATCTAATTTTAGTTTAAGGTTTTTAATGTAATAATATTAAATAAAAAAAAGAGATAAAGTGGATAAATTATATTAAAAATATAAAAAAAGAAGTAAATAAAAAAGATGATAGATTTTGCCCGACCGGTGGAATAGGTTGGGCAATTGGTGCGGGTTGAACGGGTTTGGACGGGTCAATTCTACAAGCTAAAGCATGCATTCAACCCATTTTTAAGTCTGGATCACATTGAACCGATCCAACCGATTGGGCCGGACCGAGCTTTAAAACAATGATAATTTGATTAACGAAAAAGCATTCTCACCAACCAAACATAACCTAAAGGTGAAAGTAAAGAATTGTAAAATTAGTGTGCTATATGGCAATTCCACAAAACCTTCTTGCCACATTGGCCTCTAAATCTTAAAATACTTATGAGCTATGACTTAGATTGCCCAAGATCTATTTAATCGCAACATTTACCAAGTGTTCTAATTGGTCTCATCATTGCAAAGATGAAGCTCTCTCCATAACATCCGCTGATGCCAACAGGGCCAAGTATTCGTATATGGCATCACCTTCTCTTGTAACTTCGATGTCGTAATCTGACAAATGATCTACATTTTCTAGTTCTTGAGCAAGTTCATCCTCCATTTCCACATCTCGTTTTTCAGTCTCCCCAGCAGTCAATGGACCTACAACAGTATCCTCATCGCTTGAACTACCAGCAATGTCATTGTTGTTCAAACTACCAATGGTTGACATCTCTGCTAGTGATGTCACTGTCGATGGACCTGCATCATTAGGCTTTGAATCAGAAGGGTTTGCATCACTGTCGTCAAGTTGTGATATCAGCTGCGTCAAGATTTGCTCCATGTTACCGCCAGACTGAAGAGCAGCCTGAACAGCAGCAACCACTGGAACGAAGAAAGTGATATCAGAATCCTCAGTCACATCAAATAACTATCTCTAACATGTTGACAGCAATTAAATAGCAGTTCAAGCGTTTTTGAGGAGAGAATTTTATTCCACAGCTTCATCATGCTTCTCTTTGGCACATCTGGGTGTGAGCTATATGGAAAGGGGTAGCCCAACCCCTTTCCTGACTCCCCCCCTGCCTATCCCATGATTTGAATCTGAGAGTGAGACCTCCAACTGGGAAGTCTTCTAAGGCTCTAACTGGACGGCTGTCCCCAAGGGGACTAGTTTGCAACATGCAATGTAGCTAATTAGTCTGCACTAAGTGATAAAATTTGCTCTAATATGACCTTCAAAATGGTAAATTATATGTAGAATCTAGACAATAGCAAAAAATTGCAACTTTCAAATTGACTTTACCCTACCTTATTTGTAAATGTGAATATGATTATAGATTTCCCTCACACAAAAAGTATAAAAAGAGCTACATAATTAAACCCCCCAACAGAGTAAATAACTCAAACAAATTAAAATCACATGACAAATTTTGATTTTTTACTTCTAGAAACAAATTTAAACTCACTTTTTAATTTCCCTATGTATAACCAATCATTAGTGCACCATGATAATTAAACCCCCCAACAGAGTAAATAGCTCTATCCATTAAAGATACTATATACATATATATATATATATATAGAGTAGGGATCCACTTACCCACAAGCCTTACATACCACACTTAACAAAATCTCAACCATTTTATCTCTCCACTTCCAATGGTTGAGATTTATTCACATTTATTAAATATAATTATGTTTTTCATCTAAAAAGTCGTCATAAATTTGAACCATTGAAAGTGAAGAGATAAATGGTTGAGATTCTAAGTGCAGTGTGTAAGTGTTGTATGTAAACGGATCCCTCATATATATAGATATATATACTGGGATTAGTTGGTGATCCACTTTGTGACAAATAAGAAATTTCTTTTGTAAAAATGAATTTAGAATATTCCACAAAATAATAATTATTATTATTTTCAAAAAATAATAATAATTATATTTTCAAATAATTTTTTCATCAGAGACAAATTAGAAAGGGCCAACAGACTACCAATATAATCTTGTTTGGTACATTAACTAGAATGGAGACTGCAGCTTGAAAGAATTCAAGGAATACCTCTTGATCTTTCAAAGCCCATTGATACAAGCTCCTCAATTCTAGCTTCTGCTGCTCGTTGTTGTCTTTTCCTTTTCCGTGATTCAACAGAAACCTGCAGATTAAACAAAATTCAGTGACTATGAAGCTAAGAAATAAAATTTTGAAAAAACATATTTCATGAAATAACAAGAGCTTGGCCGAGTTGTTATCCACTAACATGAATCAAGGTCAAGGGTTCAAACTCCTCCTATACCAAGTAGCTAATTCCTAATGTGCCAAATACCAAAAAGAAAATAAGTGTTTCATGAGAAAAGAAAATGACCTGCATAGCAGAATTAAGTTCTGGATTTGTCAAGTCATCCAATGCCTTCTGGAAGTCATTCTCATTTCTCCGAAGGGCTTCAGCAGCAAGAAACTTTTCAAACCTGCCCGATGAGTAGCAATGAAGCACAAGTATAACTAATATTACAAAAGATTTAATCTCATCCCTTACACATAAAAAAGAATTAAAATTGAAAAATGCATAAGGACATGTAGTATAATTGATTTGTGCATTTCTTCCCCACGCATGACCCTTTACTTTCATGAGTAACAAGTGTCTTGAAGCCAAGTAAAAGAAATGAAAAAGAAAAGAACATGTTATGTTTTGGACAATTCAAGAATTCCAACCAAAAACACAACCTTGTTCATAAAAATTTGAGGCAGGATATAAAAGATAAGATCATTCGCTCTTGGTTAATACCAAATGCTAAAAGATAAGATTGGATAATCACTGCCAAAAATGACTACCAAGTGTCTTAAAAGTTAAAACATAATGTGGAACTTTTAGGTGACCTGGGCAACCATTACTCCCCTCAACCCCCACACATAACATATCAATATGCATGAAGTCTAGACACACACACACACACAAAATAAATAAAAAGAACAAACACTTTAAATCCTTTATTTTAGGGTCAAAGTCAGGACTCAAGGCTTCCATGAAAGAAACCACCTTTGTTTTTACCTTAAGTAAATATTATAATCATTAGACATCCTCTAAAGGATAAACAAGGCTACTGTAGTGCATGCTGCTTAGTGCTTACCCAATAGAGACAAGTTCTTTCAATTTCTCAAGATTGACAGCTCTTTTCAGGGGTGTCATTCCATAACGCTTTTGCTCCCTGAAAAAAAATCGTTGCCTTAACTCATCAAACTGACAGGTTACATACCAAGTACTACAAATTCAATAAGTTATACCCACAAGATTTCCTTTCTATGCTGAATATCATCCTCTCGCTTCTTCTCTCTCCTTGACTTCTCCTCAAAGAGAAAATCAACAGCACTAGCAACATCTTGGTTGTTCAATCGCAATGCCTTCTGAGCATCACATTCCTTGAACCCCATGCTCATTACATGAGATAAGGCTTCATCTGGAACTTGCAACTGAAATGAAAGAAAAATAAATAAATAAATAAATTGAGCTTGATATGAGGTATGATGTAAAGACCTGAAATTACAGGAAAAAATTAGAGATGAAAAAACAATGGGAAGAAAAAAATTGCAAGTTGGATTTAACAAAGAAACAAAAATAATTTTAAAAAAAGGGAAAAGGAAATTTGGATCAACTAGACATTGACAAAAAAAAAAATCGTATTACTTTTTGTTTAGAAAACTATCAATATTTGTTCTTTTTCTTAAAACTTGACCAATGCCTTGCCCACTTAAAATAAAGGGGCGGATCAAGTAAAAGTTACAGAAATGTGGAAAAAGGAGTGAAAGTTCTCCAAGTTCTTTCATAAGGGGAAAATGGAATTGCAAACTGGAACCAGCCATCTAAAAAGAGATAGCTGCTTTATACTACAATAAAACTAACCTGTAAGAACTTTTCTTTTGCACAGTTCAATGTCTTTCTAGATTTATCAAAATCACCATTGTGATATGCTAGAACTCCTTCCAACAACTCCAATCTCATATGTCTAGAAAGCCACATAGAAAGGGTTAACTTGTCAACTCCACATAGCAAAATCAGGGTCGTTTTGCTGACCCCTGTACACTATCATGATTTGAAATAATATATATAAAACTCACAGTGCAAGCTCTGGCTGGCGACCTGCTTGGAGGAATCTAACACGGGAGAGGTCCTTCCCATGACAACGTTCAATTCCTTCTCTGGCCTTTTCAAGTCGCATTCCTGCAACAGAAAGCGAACTGATATCCTGGAGCAAGAAATAACACCACACCATGTCCAACTGCAGTATTGGGACATTGTCAACAAGCTGCAACAAAGAGCAATAGAGCATACAGTCAAAAGGTGAAGTACATTAGGTCATTTAGAAAGTCTTGAACATGCATAAGCTTAGGTCATATTTTTTGATACTTATGAAAGCATTTAACCAAAAATCAGAAGGAAATTTCAATAAGGAAAAAATTACATTACATTCTTCTTTTTAAAGGCTAACTTCAAGAGTTCAAATAACTTTTAGCTTTTTCAATTAAATGAACAATAAATACCATGTCATATCTTAAAGCGATATGTCCATGAACCTTCTTAAATTCTAAGAAAGAATGACTGACCTCCAGAATCTTCTGATTGCATAGAGAGAAAGCTTCCTGTGGAGGGAAGATAAAATACTTGAATTAGATACCTTTCACAATTGCAGGCAAGTACTAGTTGACTGTATACCTTACCATCAGTCCCTAGAAGTGACTTTCAAGAATATAAAAGTGACTGAGATTATTATTTCAAATAAGTTAAGTGAGTTCTTTAACCTTGACTTTTTGTACATGTGCTCAATCATCTTTCTCAACAATTATTCTACAAAAGATAATCTTATCACAACTTAGTTAGAGAGACAAATAATTGGATAAATAAGGAGGACATCAACAACCAACCTCTCCCATAGCAAGCACTTCCAGTGCATTTTTAAACTTTTGCCTCTTGATTAGATTCTTTGCATTTGCATGGAACATAAGACCCATCATTATTGCCCTGTGAAAAAAAAAAAAAAAAGCCAAAATCGTATTCCAGTTCTAATAGGGAAACCAAAGCTTTTAAAAACCTCAGAAAGTGTGTCATACTGCTGGTCTGTCTCAGATCCTAACTGCACTTTCTCTCCTCCCTGATTCTGAATTTCTAGATTGAAGTCTTCAAGTGGTAATGAACCATCTGCATGTCTCTTGCTCAATGCAGTGGCAGCTGCCCTATCAATTCCACATAGACAGTAACAAGTCAGCAAAAATGTATCTGCATGATAATACTGCAATTGTGCATAAAAACATGGCATATTGATTTCCAAAAAAGATGTAAAGAAGATAGCACTTCATCCAGGACAGACTTCAGAGTAATGCAGAACAATATTCTTAATCATTCAATCTATTCACTCTCGCTACCTCATGTTGTCCATAAGACAAGATTGTATAGGATACCAGAGTTCTCCAGACTCACCTTCTCAATTTTGCTATTACTTGGTTCATACTAAACAAGTAATTAGCAAGTAATTCAAGCAAAGACTTAAGATTACAGCAATATTTTAAACCAGAAATATTACTTCTCAAAAAAACAAGTAACCTAATAAGAATCATGACCGTGAAATAACTCAAAACAACTCATATAAAACCCATGAACTATAAGTCAATTCAACTATCAGATTCAATTATTAAATAAAATCCCAAGAATCAATCATAATAGCAACCTAAAAGACATAAAACCAATCATTAAGGAAGAAGGAACGAATAAAATTCCTTTGCTTGCAAAAGGGGGAGGGGCACATTGCTTGCAAAAAATAGAGGAAAAGAAAAGGCAATTTCACTACTAAAAAATTAAATGGCAGTAATCAAGAAACCCGAGCAAATAGTCTTTAAGAAAGAAAAAACCTTTCTTGGCCAAATCAGGTGGTATAAATCATATGTAACAAGCAAAACAAGATTGTGCCCAAAAAAAAAAAAAAAGGAAAGAAAAACAACGAACAAAACCCATAAACATACAAATCTAACATGAGGAACATAAATAAAGAGGGATTAAAGACTAACTTGACTCGGGCAAGTCTACTTGAGCGCTCCTCCTCGGCGATCAACTCTTCTTTCAAGGAATTACCCTCCTCAACTGATATGCGAGTGGCAAGAATCTTGGCGTTGTTTCTGATCCCCAGTTGGATCAATTTTTCAGCGCCATCGCCGTCCTTCAAGACCTTGCCTGTGCATATGAGCTTGATTGACCCGGGTTCAATGTTCGATCGCCTCGCCACCTCTTCTCTCAACATGGGCACCGTCCAGTTATCGAGTTCTACCTCTAGCACGCCTACCCAAACACCTCCGATCTTTAATTTCGCCATGAAAGCAGAGAACTTTTGCTGAGAATGAGAAATTCCGTAGTCCGGACTACAGACGAGCCAGCACTAATGTTACCATTTAAAAGGGTTGAGGACGATGTTTGACTTGGCGATTAAGTTTTCGAATGATGAAACAGACAAAAATAGCCCAATTTTTGTTTAAACCTCTAAATTTGGTCTCTCAACTATTTTACAGATTTTGGTCCATAAACTTGAAACCATCTTTGTTTTGGTGCCTAAACTTTAAAAATTTGACTCTTTTTTAGTCACTCTTTGGGTTATTAATGAGTAGAGTATTTCGTGAGCAACTTGCAAGCTATTCAAGTAAAACTTGACTTGAATTCAACTTATTTGGTAAACAAGTTGAACTCAAGTTTAATATTAAACTCGATAAAAAATAAGTTCTATCTCAAACTTTCATAATTACACGCTCAAACTTTCATAATTATGCATGAGTTACCCACAAATACTCAATTTAAAATTAAAAATTATATTATATATCTATTTATTAAATTTAAATATATAATAATTTGAAAACTTAATAAGGTTGAAAATGTAATTTAAATAAGTTACATATTTTAAGTTATAACTATTGATAAAAATGTTTAAATAGAGTTTATAGTTTTTTTATTGTTGGACTTAATATGTTTAAGCTTTTAATATTACAATATTTTTTTAAAATGTAAAACATTTTATGGTTAAATAATTAGTTATTGAAACATTTTAAAATTACTAAAAATAATTAAAATTCAAGTTAAAATACTTATTAGTTTGAGCTTGTGAGCAAACTTGAACTCACTTGAATACTCGTGAACTTGAGTATGAGTTCAGCCCTCCCTATCAAAGCATCCCTATTTTAAAGTCCAAACTATAAAATAATGCACCCACGAAATTAACTTATATGATTAAATTATTAATTGCATTTAACTTAAATGAAATTACACAGTTATCGTTATAAAATTATTAATTTTAATTTATTTTTAACCAAAAACCAATTTTTCTTCAAATTAACGTTAATTAAACAAAAAGATTAAAACTTTGATTAAAAATAAAAAATTTTGGAACCCGAAAGATTGACTCAGTTTTGCTTCATCCCCAGCGACACTACTTGTGATTCAACCTACAATTTGGGTGAGTTTTCTTTCTTCTTTTCTCAGTATCTAAACATATTA